CGGGCGGCGGTTTTTGCGGCCGATACTGTACTCATCGTGGTTGACGTGGCCATTGCTGCTATCGCTTTTCTTCAGGTGCGTGTTTGTCATGGATTTTGTTCTATGGATTTATGACTTTGCACTTGCTTGGAGCAGTGTGCTCCACTGGTGGATTGCTGCTGATATTATATTGTTGGTACGTTTTAGGCTTAACAATAACCCTAGTCGAGAGATGGAGTGAGATTAAGTACCATGCTACAAGATAGAACACGAACCCTAATTTCCAAATGAAAACAAAATTCCTTTATATGTCTGGATTTGCATGGTGAGAAAGTTTGATGAAAATGTAACTCTAATCTTGGAGATATTAATGGCTGTTCGCTACACGTGACCCGCAGCTGTCATTTTAACTGGATATCTCTATAATAGCATAATCTAAACCTGCTTGAATTGAATCTCTGCTGTTTAATGTTCGGTGATCCATTATTTTAGTTGCATTTGTTCTGAATTGACCTAGATTGAGAGGAGGCATTTCCCGTTTATTCTTTGAACAGATTGTACCTGAAATACATGTATTTTGTAATTATATCATAGTTTTCACTACATTTTGTCTCTAGTACTATTTCATTTTGCACTACATTTTGTCTCTAGTACCAGTACATTGCAACTTATGTTCTGGCTTTCTGATGGGTATGTTAAATGTACAAATTTTTTTATTTTCAGTTATTGAGAATTCACGGCAGAAGTTTTGGTTGGACACGCCAAATGGTATGTGAAAATGGATTTAAATTTATCATCTAGCATACTTTTTGATACCTTATTTTAAGTGCGGTTGCTACATAACCTATGTTTGATAGTATTGTAAATATTTGCAATATAAATAAATATTGAAAGTTTTTAATACCGATAAGTATAATGCATATATTTAACATTTCTATATATGTTGTCAAGCTTCAAAAATGTTAAATTACAAATTGAGGCATTTTGCCTTATTGAAGTAAGGTATAAGCTTAAAGGATGATTCAGGCGTAAACTCTAAATTAAAAATAATATATATATATATATATATATATAGTAGAAATTCACACAACAACAATCAAACACAAAAGATTTACGCGGTGCAACGTTAAATCGATTCACTAATGTCCACGAGAGGGAGATTTCACTAGCACTGGATGGGGAGAAAGAAAAACTGCTTGGCAACTCTTCTCACCATACACCTCTCTTTGTCTCTCATAAAAACTATGTCATTTTTTATAGAGGAGGACTAGAGCATACAAGAAAATAAATAAAAAGAAAAAAAAAAACAAATCAATTAAAATAAAAAATTAATCTAAAAATTAAAAAGAAAATAAAAAAAGCTTTTAAATGAAATCTTAAAAAAATGAAATTAAGAAAAATAACAATGAAGTCTGTAAAATAAGCGATTGAAAGAAAATGAAATATACTTTAAAGAAAAAATAGTTAAAATGCAAAGAAAAGAAAAAATAAGTTAAACATTTTAAAAATAGAAAGTAGAATATGCCTAGGTTCAGACGTTTGCTCCCTGCTCACAAACATGACTCTTCTCCTATAGATTGCAAATGTGACTCTTGCTTGCAGGTAGCTCCCTGCTCGTAGGTGCTACTTTCGTTTGCATACAATGCCTTCATAAGTTCTCAACTACAGGCTGGCATGTAACTATTCACTCCTGCACTAGGTGCTTGACTACACGCTGGCATGTGACTTCATCCTCTGTCTTGTACTTGCTCTCCTTTCAACCATATCCCCGTAATTTAAATTTTAAATTTAAACCCTCATGTAAATTAAATATTAATTTGAGGCATTAGCATGATGCGCTTTGAACAAAAATGCCATAAGCTTGTTCAAGCCTTAAACTTGAAAGTTTCAACGGGGCTTCATGGTGAGGCATGCCTCAAAGTGGGCACCTTGAATATTGTGAATTTTGGAGAAGAAAAAAATATTATTCCTCTTCAATTGCTTATGAAACTATTACTAGATAAATAGATGAGGATAACTCCCATATTAGGAAAGACATAAAATCAGTTTTAACTCTCCATGATAAAATAAGGAAAGAAGAATAATAATATACTAATAATTCTATTTTCTAAATATAGGAAGTACTAAAATAGAAGATACTAAAGAATATTCCTAAAATTCCAACACCTCCTCTCAAGTTGGCACATGAATATCTATCATGTCCATCTTGCTTACAAGGAGTTCAGAATTAGGCCTGAACAGTCCTTTGGTGAAAATATCGATAATTTGTTGATTTGTAGTGATAAATGACATGCAAATAGCTCCTCAATCGATCTTCTCTTTTATGAAATGCCGGTCAATCTGCACATGCTTTCTGCTATCATGCTGCACTGGAATTTCTGCAATGTTGATGGAAGCTTTATTTTCACTTTACAAGTTTATTGGCATGTTTATCAAAATCCACTACTCAAGATTTCTCTTCAACTATAACATCTCACACACTCCATTAGCCATAACATGATATGCTACCTCAACACTACTCCTTGCCTTCATATTTTGTTTCTTGCCATGTAACTAAATTTTTCCAGTCAACTAAGCCCACCCAGTTTGCACTAGTTTATGCTTCTATATTTTGTTGTGTGATTTTTTAAAAGAATAAGCTGCTGTTTTGTGTATTTTTTAGGAACAAAAGAATACTGTTAACTACTTCAAGGTGTTTCTCATAGGACGACTCCATAATTGACTTACCAAACATACAAAGAGGCAATATATGGTCGTTTATGTGACTAGTATATCAACTTTCTCACCAACTTTTGATATCGTACTGTATTAACTCGGTCGCCCTCCTTATCTCCAAGTTTCTAATCGGGATCAATTAAAGTATCTGCAGGCCTACAACCACTCATCCCTATTTTCTTTAGAAAATCTAGAACATATTTCCGTTGGGAAACCACAATCTCTTTCTTTGATCTAGCAAACTCCATTAAAAAAAATATCTTCCTTAGAGAGCGTAAGACCTTGGTGTTAAAACTAACGAGAGAGAATTCTTCAATCTTAGATAGAGAGCGTAAGTCCTTGGTGTTAAAACTAACGAGAGAGAATTCTTCAACCTGTTTATTTCATAAACGTCATCTCTTATGAGAATTATATCGTCCACGTACACAATCAATATGGCTTTCTTCTCATTCTTGGAATGCATGAAGAACTTTATATAATTTCTATGATCTCCTTGCCCTAAAGTATATTTGTGACCTTTAACAAATAGTGTGAATTTCTCAAACCACACTCTCGGTCACTGCTTCAACCACCCATATAATAATTTTTTAGTCTACACACCTTTGTGCCAAACTTCTTATTGAATTATGGAGGTGCATCTATGTACACTTTTTTCTCTAATTCTCCATTGAGGAATGCATTCTTTATATATAAGTGTTGTATAGGTCAATCAATACTAGTGCGGAAACTGACTCTCACCTATTGTACGCCCAAATGGCTAGAGAAATTCCTGGATGATGAGCAAGAAGCACTGCAGCAGCAATAACAAGTCACTTTGGAACGACCCGACATCGAGGTCTCGGCGAGCCTTCTCTACTGTACTCCCCAACCGCCTTACCGAGTTTCGTTTTGAAACTGGAGCAATGTCTCGAGATAATCAATGCCATATGTCTGAGTATATCCTTTAACAACATGTCTATCATTGTGAAGTTCTAAAGGACCATCGAAGTTGTACTTGATTGTAAAAACTCATTTGCATCCAACAATTATCTTTCCTTTAGGTAGTCAACCTTTTCTCATGTTCTATTTTTTCAAGAGCTTTCATTTTCTTGAAAACAACCTCCTTTCACTTATGGTTTTTAAGAGCATTCTGCACAGTTATAGGAATCTCCATATGCGATAATTGTAAGATAAAAGCACCAAGGCAGGAGAGAGGTGATCATGACCATAATAGCACAATAGATGTTGAGTGCTAGACATACTAGACTCAGGATTTAAACTCAGTTTAGAATTTGAAGATGAAGTGGGATGAACATTCTGGGCACTGCAAAAGATTTGTAAAACCATTTTTTTTCTAATGGTCCTCTGTTGTGAGTAGAAAAAATCAAACGGTACCACTATCATCGTTTTTTTTTCTTGTTTCTTCATTGTTATAAATATCATGAGATGGAATTGTAGGAATTTCAATATCTAAAAGACTCGACACACTCTCTCCTGATATAATATTACTTGGATTTTCAGGTTGAATAATCATTGTTGGGGACATACTATTTTGAGAGTCTGCAGTTTGAAGAAAATCCTGAAATTAAGCAGACACATCTTTGTTTTGTTCTTACTTAATTCAAAAAAGGTGACATCCATAGTTATAAATATTTTTTTCGAATCGGGATCAAAATTTTTATATCATTTTTTTGTTAGGAGCATAGCCAATAAACACAAGTTTTTTGGCTTGGAGATTAAGTTTTTCCTGATTATGAATGTGAATTATGAGTGTGAATGAAAATAGTAACACCCAAATATCTTTAGAGGCAGGGAAGATGATTTTCAATGTTTTGGAAATAATTATTGAAAAACATCAAAGGGTGTTTCAAAGTTTAAAACTTTATTGGGTGTTCTGTTTATGAGAAATGTAGTAGTGAAAACAACTTTACCCGAAAGATATTTGGGCACCTGATTAGTAAATAATAAAGCCCGAGCTATCTTCAATAAGTGATTTTTTTCCATTCAACCAACTCATTTTGCCGACTAGTGTCGACACAAAAACTTTAATGAATTATTTTTTTTCATCAAGAAAGAATTTACCTAAAACATGTTTGAAATACTCTCGATCATTGACATTTCATAAAATTTGAGTGGTTGTTTGAAATTGGGTTTGTATCATGGTGTAAAAATTTTGGAAAATTATGTCTACTTCAAAATTTTCTTTCATTAAATAAACTCATTTAATCTACTCTGATCATCAGTGAATGTCACAAATCACTTTTTCCCAGAATGTGCAATATGAATCAAAGTTAATGGTATATCAGGTTTGTATATCTGTGGAGAAAACGATGTGTGATGATGCTTAGCAAACTAACACACTTCTTATTGTAACGACGTATCTTTATTTTGAAATAATTTGGGAAATAAGTATTTTAGATAATGAAAATTGGAATGATCTAACCTATAGGGTTATAACATATTTTCATTATCTTTGGATATAAAAATAAAATTCAAACCAGTACTTTGACATTGTTTAATTGAGCCAAGCCCATTTTCAAATTAATAGAGTCTATTTTTTCCTTAGAATGGCCTATTATTCTTCCCGCGGTCAATTACTGAAACTCACAACAAAAATAATTGAAGTTAGCTTGGGATTGATGATCAACAGTAATTTTAATAATAGTCAACAAGTTATACTATAAATTATAGACATGGGAAACACATGAAGGGTTAACGAGGAGAGTTTGATAATTTTTATCCCGTAAATTACCGAGTGGGAACCATCAGCAGTTGTGAAATTTTTATTTCCTGCACATGATCTATAGGAAGAGAATAATTTAGAACAGCCCGCCATATGATCAACTGCACTAGAGTTAATTTTCTAGGAATTAAAAAATTTTGGAATAGCATCCAACAAAGCAGTGGTCAAAGAGTTACTTTTTTATACTAAAGAGCAAGACAGTGTTAGGGATAGTTTTGGAGATTGAAATAATTTTTGCAAGTGCTCTAATTGCTCATTGGTAAAAGAGATTGCATTCGACTTAGCAGACGACTCTTGAGTTTCTTCAAAGACTTGATATGCTCAAAGTTCACACTTGGATTTTGATTTCCAATTTGCAGGTTTTCCATAAAACTTCCAACATATTTCTTTTGTGTGCAATGTTTTTTGCAATACTCGCACTATATTTTTTATCCCATTGTCAGTATCAACCCCTTTTAATACAAGAACCGAGTTTTGTTCAATTTTACGAGACGATTCAATGTTTTATTACATAATTTTTCTTTTGGATTCTTCGCGTCTCAGTTCAGAAAAGACTTCTCGAATTAAGGGTGCAGGTTTCTTACCAATGATTCAACATTGAACTTCATTTGAACTACGATTAAGGCCAACTAAGAATATGTAGACCCAATTGTTTATTTTTCGTTTTTTGGGGCTAGCATAGTCATTTGTATTCTCCCAATTGTCATCATAACTTTGATCAAATTACTATCTTAAAGGTTACCAACTCATTATTGTACATAGTAACATCATGATTATTTTGTTTGGTTTTTCAAAGTTGAGTTTTCAACTCAATATATTTGTGAAAAATTTTTTAATTCTGAGTAGAGATCTTGAATACCCTCCCAAATATCTGGAGCAGTGGGAAAGCATAGTTGTTATTTGTGAAAAATTTTTCAATTCTGAGTAGAGATCTTGAATACCCTCCCACTCCCAAATATCTGGAGCAGTGGGAAAGCATAGTTGTGGTTTTTCTATGATAGGTTCAATACAGTTGATGAACCAGGCTATATGCAGAAAATTTTTGGGCCGCCATTCTTTTAAATTCAGATCGCCAACAGTAGGTTTGAAATTTCTTCGGTTAAATACCCATTGATTGCTAGTTTTATTGCTAGTTTTATGGATTGAGTCTACTCGAGGTATTTGTGCCCGTTGAGTTTTATCACAGTGAGATACGATGGTAAGTTTTGGGGATAAAACTCAGCCCATACGGGTGTAGGGCAAGGAGGCGTGGTTTCAGAATGATTGGAATCGGTTGACTTGATAGAATTTCTTAGAACTTGCCATCATTGTTGCTTTATAAGACATTCTCATAATATAAAAAAACACCGTAGTCTCGGCCGCACAAGCTACGTGGAACTCTTTTACGCTGTGATCTCGATCTCTGTTTTTGATAAAGAACAATGCAGAACTCCTATATAAGACAATTCGTTCAATTTCTCACGTAAGTGACACAAAACTCCTTTATGCTGCGATCTCGATTGCTATTTTTGATCAAGGATGGCACGAAGCTCTTGCATGTCGCGATTAGTTTACTTTCCTATGAAGGTTTGACTCTTTTGTCGACTACAAAATAGGAACCAACAACTTCGAAGGAAAAACAAATAGTGGCCTTCTGTTGTGATGGAAAAACACAGGTGGAGGTAGTGTCTTCAAAGGAGATGCAAGTAGGTGGAGGAAGAATCAGAAGCGTAGGGTTAGGGTAGTTGAAGAAGATTCATGCAAGCGAATTGTTGCCTTTGGACAAGTATCGGGTAGAATCAGAGCAAGGAAATAATGCTTGCAATAGCGGAAAACGTAGACAACCTAACAAACTGCTCAGGAATGGCTGGCTTCGATCACGACCACTCGGACTTGAAGGCAAAGCTGGATAGCGCAAGCAGCTTCGACCTCGACGCGGGTTAGGGCACTTTGGTGGCTCTGAAATCATGTGAATTTTTAGAAGGAAAAATTATTATTCCTCTTGAATTCCTTATCGAGCAATTATAAGATAAATAGAGGGGGTGACTTTCACATTAGAAAGACATAAAATCAGCCATAACTGCCCATGATAAGAGAATGAAACAAGAATTATAAAGTACCAATAGTTCTATATTCTTAAACTTAGAAGTATTGAAATTGAAGATGCTAAAGAAGATTTCTAAAATTCCAACAAACATCTATGTAAACCATGGTTGTTATTGATCAACGATTGGATTATAATATGAGGTGTCTTTATGTTCTACTGCAATAATTTTGAACTAAAGTCCTACTTGTGCTGTTGATTAGTATTTTGGATGTGCAAACATAATGGCCTTTCATTTCAGGAACCATTTCGCTGTATAATGTGAATTTTTATGTGATTTCAAAATTGGATTGAAGGTATTTTCTTAGGTATAGCATAGCTTCAAACTAGTTATACAATACTCATTCTAAATATTTTTTTATTTTGTATCATGCAGCTTGGATAGCTTCAAACTAGTTATACAATACTCATTCTAAAGCATGAAGCATGTACAGGGAAACTCCCATGCTCAACTTTGAATGGTCAAAATTTGTCAGTGATATTTGCCTAAACTAGCATGGTCTACGAATAAGGGCTGTTAGGGCTGGGTGTTAGGTAGGAATTATAGGACGATGAAATTTAATGTAATATTTTATTGAGGAATGTGACCAGTATGAAACTGGTCACCAATAAAACCCATTAATAAACTTAGAATATATCAAATAAATATTAATAAAATATTTTTTTACCCATTAATAAACTTAGAATATATCAAATAAATATAAAGTTAAGCCAATAAATTCTCAATAAATAAAAATAATATATATTTTTTCAATCTTTAAAATATATTTGGAATAGGTTTAGATTGAACTTAATCGAATTTATTTTTGTAGTCATCATCCTTGAGTTTTTGATGAGACTTACTTGTTCAATTTACATCGAGGAACGTTTAAATACACTGACTCGACTACTAAACCTTGGATCTTCACTTTGCTTCTGTGAATGTGGTGAATGGAACATCTTCAACTTATCTTCATGATGCATGTGCTCTGAACCAGTCTAATGGAAATCAACATTATTTCTAGTAATTGATTTACCTGAAAGAAAATACTTAGCAAATCATTTGATGATACCACAGAAGATTTGTTATTATCAAATTGTTGATACATCACAAATGAATTATCTAGGCTAATGAGGAGCACATGCATATTTTTGATGCATGCAATTTATAAAATTGTTTGATTTATCATGATCCTTCTTTGCTTGCATTTCTAGGAAATTTGTGTGTTATGGCTATATTTGAGATTGCTTTTTATCCATGTTTCTTTTAAAAATTCTATCATGTATGCTTCTTTATTGGTGTTAGAGACGTGAAAGTGCTATCCTGCAAATGCACCTCTTCTATAGCTTCACAACCATAGGTTTGCTCATTCACATCAAAGCTCATTCACATCAAAGCATCCATATTTATAAGAGTATTTGTGACTTTATTTTCTACAACTAGGTTCTAATGAACTCTAATTTATTTACCACTTAATCATAATCATCATGAAAGATATGCTTCTTGTTTGTTACCCATTAGTTTGCCCCCTCTTAATTTCTTCTCGACATTACATACCTTCATACTCTCTTTCATAAAATCTAAACATCGTTTGTGTGCTCTATGTAAAATGCGGTTTAGTTGAGTAGTTTGAACTTTTTTCTGCTAGATATGATTATCAGCCAAATTCTGTAAAGTTTTAAAGCATTGTAACCTGCCTATGCTTTTTTGGTGCCTAGCATGACATGAATGACTGATTTCTATTGATGCTCAAATTGCAAAATTTGCATTACAACACGGTGCATAATCCATGAAAAAAAAAATCTATATCTGCTTGGAAGAGGTGATTATATGAACATATAAAGTTTTATCAAGTGATAATCTCTCATCAATTTATTATTTGGAAGCAAAGTTTGGAAGGGGATTTTATTATATCAACGCACAGAATAAATTCAAAATCTTGCTTCAAATTTCATACTTCGCATTCCACATTTTAGCTGCTATATAAGCATGGAATCTTCCTCAAAATCATTATTCTTTAGTATCTTGCATATATTTTTGCATTGTTATGGTTATGCAGCTTAGGCATGATCTTGAGGAATATATTTAATAACGTGCAGGTATTTCATCTCATGATCGGATCATACAATGTTGGTAAGATACTCTATACAATTGAAAATTGTCTGGTTCAACCCTTGGAATCTGCTTGATTTGCCAGGCTCATTCACTCGTTTCTGTCTTTGATCCTTGAAATGATCGAAAACACTAATAACATGAATTTCTGTTATTACTTATTTTTTCACTAATTATAACGTCGAACCAGAGATACAATTTCCTGTTGGAGTTATAATGCTATAGCACTACATCGCAAACCCAAACTGTTTGGGTATTTTATTGAATGCTAAAATGCTCAAATTCTTACATGGAATTCTTTTTTTAATTTATTTGTTTTACTTATCTGTAACTTGTTGTTTCTTATTTGTAAATTGGGTTATGAGGACTTGTATAAACAGTTTTCCTTGGGTCTTTCGTATTGCATTTTTTATTAATATTGTTTATCTTACATCGCTCGAGGTATTTGAAATACTCTTGATCGGAAACTGCACTGAAGATGGCAATTACAACACCACGAAACCTATTTTTTTCTAGTATCTACTTGAAATTTAAGGAGGCATGATGAATTATTTTTCTATCAACTGCATTCTCATGTGTTATAATTTTAATCATGCAGAAAAATATAAGAAGGGCAGTTACTGTGTTTTCTAAGTTTTCTTTAATTGCCATATTTCCATTGTATTAATTGTGGTAAATACCGTTATTCCTACTGTTATAGGCATTGTCAGTTTTTATTTTTTGTAAATGGTTTCCAGTTTTTCAAAATCGTAAAATTATTCCTTTTAGCCAAGACCAGATAAAGGGAATTGGGTTAAATTATAGTAAGAGTTACATGTATACCACTCAATTTTTATTTATTTACATTTTTAACACCTAAAGTTCAATTTTTTTACATATATCATTTTATCTAGCGTCAAAATGTGTATTTTAAAAGTTAAAATAGTGGTATTTTTTATGTTATATAAAAGATTTGGGTGGTATTAATGTAAAAATTAAAGTTTAGGTGTTATATATGTAAATACATAAAAATTCGGTGGTATGTATGTAAATGCCCCTAAATTATATTTCTGCATATTGTACTTTTAGGTGTTTTTCTGGTATCATTCAGTTCTTAAACATCTTCTATCATGAAAGAGCAACATCATCTCTACTGTGTTTGCGGATCCTATTTCTCACCAAGCTCTTGTCACTGTCGATTCTACCTAAAAATTTCCTCATGTCTGGTTACATACTTACATTGTCCCTGCGGTCAGTGCCAACATTTCCTCATTGATGTGCCTATCCTTGGAATCTCTGCCCTTACAACTCTGTTTTTTCCCTACTATATCATAATAGCAAGAATTTGATTCTATTAATATTTCTAATATGAAATTTGATATCAAACCATCTGTAGTTAAATTTTTTTGTCTAAACTTTTTTTTTGTTCAACTCGATATACTTATTAAATTTAACTGCGAACATTATTATTCATAAAATTTAATTCCAATTCTTATTATCTGTTTAACTTTTCCGTTACCATAACAGTTTTTATTGTGCCGTTAATAAGTATTTAGTATTTTATAAGCTTATAAAACTTCAATCTTACCGAGGATAGGGCTGCCAATTGAACAGGAGCTGCTCATTGGCACGTAGGGCGGGCCACAACAGGGTTTGCGGGCCACAACAGGGTTTATTGTGCTCTGTTAATGGGCATTGGGCATTTGTACAACATATATTTACCATGTCTTTAAAACCAAGACCATCAAACCACATTAGAAATCTATGTAATCCCGCATTGTAAGAATCAATCAGTTAATTTTTGTTTTTAATTTTGATTGAATAGATGCACATATTTAAAATAATTTTCCACCATATTTAACTTGTATCAAATTCAGAAACAGATCAGTATTTGATAATAATCTCTAAAATTTCGTTCTATAGCATCTTTGACATCCATAAGAGTTTCTAAAATTCCACAACAGAAAATGAATTCTTGATTGATGAGAAATGTCATTCAAAATGAAATTATTGTATGGGAAAGAGGTGCTGGATGTGGTAAACCATGAAGAAAGGAAAACAGCAGATCTTGTTAAAAGGGATTGAAAAAAATAAAAAAAAGGACAACTACCCTATGCCATTATATTAGACAATGCATCCTATTCTGATAAATTTATTATTAATTTACATGTGTGTAATTTGCTCGTAGAGCATCGTCAAGCTCTCGACTCATGAATTAATCTCTTGCTCCTTCGCCACCTCCTTGCCAATCTTCCCATCTTTTATCAATATGGGATTAAATCTACAAGGTTTTAGTCCGATTAACTATTACCTCAATTAGGGTGCCAAATCTCAAAAAGATTATTAAGCAAGTTTTAACGGTTCAATTGCGATTTGGGTGTCAGATTGCAAAAAGATTATTTTCTAAGTTGTAACAATCCACTTTTTGTGGAGAGTATAGAGGCTATTGCTGACGTGGGGTGCTTCTCCAAAATGTGATGCTGAACTAAGATGTCGTGTCTTTGTTTGCACGTAATCGCGGGATCAGATCGCGAGAAGATCAGCGAAAATTGATCACATTTACGGGAATCAGGGCGGAATCCCAACTTGGTAAAGCTTGAAGCGGGCTTCTCGCTCGAGAGTTCTGCTGCCGAATAGTTGAAGACTTTTTTATTTTTATTTTTATTAGTTTTGAAACCTAATTAGGTATCCTCTCTAGAGGGGACTATATATATCTTATTATTTCCTATATTTCCAGACTTTTGATTTGAGTTGAGTATTTTGGAGATGTTTCTCCTGGTTCTATCCTAACGGAGTGCTATGTCATTTCTGTTTGCAAGTGGTGTTTATGTAGCTTGTGCATAAATCAGTGGTGAAGCTCCTTGTCGCATTATCATCGCCAAATTGAAATTTCTCAGTTATTTTTATCCGGGACAGCCTCTGATTGACGTCTATCTCTTTCCAAACAATATCAGTCGTTCCACAACCACCTCCCTGGAAAATCCGCATACCAAATGCCTTTGAGGAATTCTAGATCGGTATCATTTGCTATTAGAACTAGCTTTTCTATTCTTATACTAGGGTTATCAAAGTTCACTACTACCTAAACCAAACTTCACCCAAAATCCCTTCCCCTTGCTGATTTTTCAACTCAACCACCTAAATTTTTTCTTTCCCACTAGAAATCACATTATTTTCCTATTTTTTTTGGATTACATCAGGATTCGGCTTTAAGCCCATATCTTTTTGCTTTAGTTATGGATGGTCTTACTGGACATTTACAGGAGGATGTACCTTGGTGTAAGCTTTTTGCTGATGATATCCTTCTCGTGCATAAGAAGAGAGAAAAAGCCTAGAAAAAACTTGAATTATGGAGGCCTACGTTGGAGTTTAAAGACCTTTATTTGAGTAGATTAAAACTAAATACATGGAATGTAATTTTAGTAGTCGTAGCTCTAGTGACAAAAGTGTAACTTTGGGTGATCAAATTATTAAAAGGTGTGAACGATTTAGATATCTCAGGTTTGTTGTTCAAAGCGATGGTGATATAGATGAAGATGTTAATAGTAGATTTTAATATGGTCGGTTGAAATGGAGGAATGCTTCGGGCCTTTTGTGTGATATAAAAGTACCACTTAGACTGAAAGAAAAATTTAATAAGAGGGTGGTGAGACCTGCAATGCTTTATGGAGGCCTTTAAAAGAGAAGCATAATACTAAGTTAAGTGTTGCCGAGATGAGAATGATTAGGTGGATGAGTGGCTTTACACTTAAAGACAAAATGCGAAATGAATATATCCACAATAGGGTTGTTGTAGCTCCAGTGACGGACAAAATTAGTGAGAGTCGTCTTAGATGGCTTGGTCAAATTAAACGTCGACCATCTGATGATCTGATTAGGAGAGTAGATGTTTTAGATTCGACTTATGTTAAGAAAGGCAGAGGTAGACCTAGGAAGGCTTGGGCTTATTGTATAAAAAATGATCTTAATTTATTAGAACTAAATGAAAATATGACACTAAATAGGACGCAATGGAGAAAAATGATTCATGTAGCCGACCTCACGTAGTGGGATTAAGGCTTTGTTGTTGTTGTAGAAATCACCTTTATACAGCCTCTTCTACCTCTCTAAACTTAAATCCTATCTATGCCACCGAAGACACAAATGTCGAAAACTTGTTTTGGAGAGAAGATACAATGCTGCTCATAAGAAATCCTCAAAGAGATGTCCCAAAACTTTCTACGTAAACATGTAGTGGGAAATTCTTCAACTGCAACAAAAGTTCGCCGCCTTCGAGAGGAGACAATTCAGAAGGGTCACACGTTGTCGCAATGGTGAATCATCAGTTTGAAAAGTTGAATAACTACTACCTAAAAATTTGGCATTGAATCTTAGGGAAGTCAGGATCTGGAAGTGAAGGTGAATTTATCAGATTTTGACGATCATGGTGATCCAAAAGAATTCATCGAGTGACTTTAGGAAATGGAGCGGGTCTTAGCTAGCTACCATCAAGTTAAGGAGTGCTTTGTTGTGGTGAAAAAAATTGAAGTACCTATATTAGCATGAGGGAAAAAATAAAATCACTATCTTGTCTAAAAGATGAAAAGAGAGATACAACGCAAGTACCTATCCACATATTACAAGCATGATATGTTTTTGAGACTTCACTAGTTACAACAAAATCACCGGATGACCGCCTCATCTTAGTGGCATAGTTCAACCCCAGGATCAAACATCAAAAGTACAACCGGTGGAACACCTAAGCCTACTTAGCCATAGGATAAAATCATACAAAGTGAAGAAAAAGTGGAGACCGTCATTACTCTCAAATTCATCATCGCCAGTAAATGCTTCAAGTGTCACAGTTTTGGCCACGTGGCATTTGATTGCCTAAATAGGAAAGTAATCTCGTTCACTCTGGAGGAGCAGTTGAAGAAAGGGACAGTAGCACATGAGAAGATGATGCTTTCAAAGAGAAATCTCAACATTCAGCTGATGAGGAAGAGATGTCAGCGATTCAAGCTGAGCCCATAAGAGATACTCCACCACGATTAACATTAGTT